AGAAGCACCCTTTTTATACAGGGGTGCTGGAACAATCTGTATAGTGGGGGTGCTGAGAGCCACTGAACTAAACTGTAAACCCTGGACATGATGGAAACCACTTCAAGCCCGGGGGGGGGGGTGGCAGCCCCCCCAATTCCAGCACCTGTGTTTTGATGTTTTAGTTCTGGGGAAAGTGCTGGATTGACCATCCCGGATGGGGAAGTCCTGTTTATTCGCAGATCAGATACAATGCAGGCACCGCCAGTGAGTTTTCTCCTTCTCACTCAGCCTAGCTGCTCCTTACGTAGCTGTACCTATGCTGGCATTTCGGGGGGAAATCTTCCCCCCCTTGCCCTAGCTCAGTGCTGCTAGCACTTCACAGGCCACAGCAAATGGCGGAGGCAGGATAAGTGCCTGTCTCATCTAACCCTGCTCTGTGGCTGCTACCGGGGCAGAGCAGCATTGTTGTTTGTTTATTTATTTGCCTTGCCATATGCATAGGTGCCATAGTCATCGTGTCAGGTGCTGTACAAACCTACAACAAAAGGACAGTCCAGGCCCCAAGGGACCTACAATCTGAGTGCAGTGCAACACACAGCGAGATTTCAAGTTGCAGTGGGGGAGGTTTAGATTGGATATTAGGAAAAACTTTTTCACTAAGAGGGTGGTGAAACACTGGAATGCGTTACCTAGGGAGGTGGTAGAATCTCCTTCCTTAGAGGTTTTTAAGGTCAGGCTTGACAAAGCCCTGGCTGGGATGATTTAACTGGGAATTGGTCCTGCTTCGAGCAGGGGGTTGGACTAGATGACCTTCAGGGGTCCCTTCCAACCCTGATATTCTATGATTCTATGATTTCCCAACTCCGTTGTTGCTTTCCTGGGAGGAGGGACTTAATCGATACCTCGGCGCAAGCTTTCAATATTGTCTGAACTCCTTTAAAAGGAAGAACTTTATTAACACCCCAGTGTGAGCTGGGAGGAAATATTTGGCTGTCTACCTCATTTAGAAGGGATAATTGCATGGGCTGTAATATATACTGCTTACTGTATTTTTCACTCCATGCATCTCATGAAGTGGGTTTTAGCCCACAAAAGCTTATGCCCAGATAAATGGGTTAGTCTTTAAGGTGCCACAAGGACTCCGCGTTGTTTTTACTGTTATCTGAGAAGATTGCACTGATTGGGAGAGTTTTCAGAGGACAGGGGAAGAGAGTGACACCAGAAATGTGTCTGACCCCACAGGGATTGCCTTTCTGGTTTTCCAAGGGCACTGCCGCTACCAGGAGCAGAATGGTGTTGACTCTGACGGCCGAGGTAAGTGTTGGGATGGTGCTGAATTATTACGAATGGCTGTGATTGAGATGAATGGAGTAAGGCTTGGTGCGTCTGAATTTGCTCAAGGATTCTGGGAGCAGGGTTCTCTCAGCATCAGATAGTACGCTGAAATTGCACTTGAATGCTGATGTAACTATGGATAATGAATGGTTAACCAGAGGCTCTGTGTGTGTGTATTTTAGCTGACACTTTGATCACGGTTAAGGCTACGTTTTAGTCATGGGTATTTTTAGTAAAAGTCATGGACAGGTCACGGGCAGTAAACAAAAATTCAAGGCCCGTGACCTGTCCATGACTTGTACTATATACCACTAACTAAAACTTGCCCTGGGGGGGGAGGGCGCACAGGTGCTCTGGGGGGTGCAGTCCAGAGGTGCTGCAGGTGGTGGGAGGGTGGCCTAGGAACCCTGCTAGTCTTTGGGGGGAGGCAGGCAGCAGCGTGTGGCCCAGGACCCTTGCTGGTGCTGGGGGATGGGGAGGAGGCAGCGGTGCGCAGCCTGGGCCCTCAGTGGGTGTTGGGGGGGCGGGTTGGCAGGGCTGGCAGGCTCCCTACCTGGCTCCGACCAGCAAGTCCCTGCAGCTCCTAGCAGGAGGGAATGCCAGGGGGGCTCCACGCACTGCTCCAGCCACAAGCACTTGCTCCGCAGCTCCCATTGGCCAGGAACCACAGCACTGCCCCACACCCCAAACCCCTGCCCCAGGCCTCAGCCCCCTCCCACACCCAAACTGCTGCTGCCCGGCCAGAGGGTATATTTCAGGGGCATGTAACTCCTTTGAGAGGGAGGAGTAAAATTACTAATAATATCGTATGTGCAGTGGCAGTTCCCCAATTAATATCTTAAGAAGCCTGTGACCCTGTAGGATGGGGTCTCAGGGTAGCCAACACCCTGCTATATGAGGGCTTTTTGTGGGACTTTTGGACCAGAGGGCCTTAGGGTAGCCAAAACCTTGCTCTGAGGGACATTTTGACAGACCAAGTACTTGAGAAGAGAAGAGAAGAGAAGAGAAGAGGTCTCCATCGAGGACCGGTAGCTATACCTGCTTTGTTTGCCAATCAGGGTACTGTGTAGGGCCAATGTAGTTCCTGAGGGTTTATGCCTGGGGAACTGAGGCTTATTAAGAAGACGTATTGTATAACCTTTTACTGCTTGTGTGATTCTTTCTCAAATTGATTGCTGTGCATTGAACAAATTGTATGTGAATTTTCACTGGTACCGGTAACAATCTGCCCAGCTGAGGGCCATTAAAGATCCGTTTCAACAGTAAGGACAATAAAAAGGGGGGCTGGAAAAACTCACCTGCTGCTTACCGTCTGTTATCACCCAGGATGGCTAATAAAAAGGCTGCAAACTGAAAGGGTAGCAAACGAGTTAATCATTGTTCAAAGCAGACGGAGTGTAACAGGTGTGAAACTTGCGCCGGTCCCAGAGCTGGGTTCCTTTTATCATCAAGTCAACCTGAGTCACTGAAATATATTTTAAAGCAAATATATCCAAGAACAGGTGCTGTTTGCCGGATCCTTCTCGAGGCTAAATGCTGCCAAGTGTTTATTAGTAACGCTGTGGAGTTCTAGCAGACACTTTACGGGAGCGCAAGATACAACTGGACTGGCTGAGGAGAGAAGGTGGGCTGGATATTTACAGGTTTTTGTCACAGTGCCCTGGCTAATTTGTATTCAGATGCTACACTCTTTTAGATGTATCTGGCTTTACTGGAGAAATAAGTTTCCTCGCCCCCTTGTGGCACATTGTTTGGCACTGAAGTGGTTAAGTGGACGAGATTTACTGATACAGGTTTGCAAAGCAGCAGAATCTACTTTCATTTTATTATCGTATCCCTTTAAAATGAGCTAATAAGGGAGAGAGGATTGTCCAGTGCTTAGATCATGGGACTGGGCGCCTGGAGTTCTGGATTCTGTTCCCAGCTTGGCCACCAAGTCACCGTGTACAAGTCACTTTAGCTCTTCGTGACTTGGATTCCCCTTCTGTAAAATGGGGTGACAGTGCTTCCCTAACTCCCTGGCCTGAATTCACTACTGGTGGTAAAGCGTGCTAAGGTCCTCGGAAGAGAGGTGCGATATAACTGCAGAGCAAAATAGAGTCAATGCAGCAAAACTGCTCAGACCATCTCATAAGTCTTCGAGCTCTTTACAAATATTAATTAAGCCTAAGCAATTGGGCCAAGGTGACTCGAGTCCAGGAATACAACCCACAAGCAATGACTCCCAGTGGTCTAACCACGAGACAGCATTCCCACTTTTCAGAGGAGGACTCATTGGATAGCAATGGTAGCATCTGGAATTCATTCTGTGGTGTTAAATTGTCTCTTTTCTGGTGAAACCTTTGGGTTCTATTTGTATTAGCTCATGTGGGCCCTTTGCCTATTTCTTCAGGCTATGGAGCAAGCGTGGCTTGATCACTTATGTGTATGTTTTGCTTAGCTCACTTGCCTTCTTTCTCATGCCAGTGAATATGAAAGTGGAAGTCTGGAAAATGTAATGCTCCCTGTGGAATGACCTAAAGAATGCAAATATATGGAGGTGGGCCCTGATCTGAACTCTAAGTCTAAATTCCATATATATATCAAGGGCTGGATCAAAGCCATGACTCCCCCAAAAGCTTGGGAAGATCTTAAGTGCCAATCCTGGAAAATCTGATCTCCTATTTCCATGTAGTAGATTTCATTTCTTGATCTCTCTGTTAAAAAAACAACAACAACAACAAAACCCAACTGTACAAAGATCTGTTTGATGGAGATATGACCAGCTTTTGATTCTGTTAACAAAAGATTTTCCCTTTGTCATCAGAAAAATTTTCCAAATTTCCCCCAAATATTCCAATATTTGGATCATGGCTAGAGCAGAAGGTCCTTGCTTAAATTCAAACAAAAATAATTACAATGGCGAGTCTAACTAGGAAAAGGCAACTTAATTCCCTAGTAAAATCTTTCTTTTAAAACCAAAATGTGTTGTCATGGGGTGGGCTCCCTGTCTGTACTGATGGTCCTGGTTCAGTGAGATGATTTTCATTGGTTCTCTGCATTCTCAGCTCCCAGACAGAACAGTGCTGGCTCATCAGAACCCAACAGGGTGAGATCATTCCCTGCTTTGTGCTTGCCATGAGCTTGCTGACGTAGCCTGTGAAGGACATGCAGGTGCACTGAATAATCTCCAGAGCCTTTGAGAATGATCAGAAAGACCCCAGAACAAACCAGGTGTTTCTTAGCCGGTACAGGAACCTCGAGGATAAGATAACAGCAGAGAAATGCTCTGATCCTGCACGCCCCACTGTGGCAAAACTCCCATTAACTTTAGTGGGTTTTGTGCCCAAGCAAGGACTTCAGTAACAGGCTCTAAGTCCTTGTATGGTATAAGGAGGCTTTACCAAGTGGGGCAGTGAACTACACAGGCAAATTCGGGTTAAGATTGCCTGCAAAAAGACTGCAGGACTGGGGCCTGCCTTTGTTACTCTTGATTCTACTCTTCTATTTCCACCTTCAATATTTCAGACCATGAGAGAATTCGTGGTCTGGTTTGGCCTTAACAACAGAGGGAGGTGTGCTTATCTGATTGGGAGAAGGCTGGTGACGTGGTGGCAGACCTGCTTTATAGCCCTGGGACACTGCTGCGCACCTATTCCTGCCCTGAAAGCCCCAGACGGGTTCTTTGGCTGCCCTCAGGCCAGATGGCAAGCGCCCTGCTCCTGATGCTGCTGCTCTCCCTCGCCTCAGCCCAGTCGTTTTCTCACCAGCGAGGCCTCATCTTCAATTTGGTAAGAGGAGGCTGGAAAATGCAGAGTTTGCCTGGGCTCGATCCCATGTGCTCTCCAGGGAGGGGAAGTCTCTTGGAGTGGAGGGGAATTAGCTGCCCTTCAGATTTGCAGGCTCTGGCTCAGAATATCCCCTGGCTTCCTTTCTGTGTTCAGTTAGATTCCTTGGGAATTTCCTGTGCTGGAGGAGAGAGGTTTTCAAAGGCATCTATTGCAGCTTAGTACTTCATTTCAATTTATTTCCTTCATTCTAATGACTTCATGGGCATTTCTGTGGCCCCTCCCCATACTCATAGGGCAATGACTCACAAACCCCAGATGGATTAATTCTAGCTGCCCCACTCCCCATGTGGCAGGGAATTATCATTCTCCCCATTTTACAGATGGGGAAACTGAGGCACAGAGCGATTAATGGCCTGCTTTGCAACAGTGTCAAGCAATCCTATCTCCCATTGAAGCCATGGGGTGGGGATCAGCATCTCTGAATATCAGGCCATTACTACGTATCATGGCCAAAAAGGAAGCTTATGGCAGAGCCAGGAACAGAGCCAGAACGGAGGTTTCTGGTGTCCCAGTCCAGGGCTTTAGCCATATGGCAGTTGCCACACACTGCCTTAACCATAAGCCAATTCATTGGGCTTGGGACATAAAAGGTGATGGAGCCAGTCAGAATGTGTAACCCGAACCAAGCCCTGGAAACCACAGCCAGGGCCTTTGTGGGATTCAGGGTGAAGAGGGGGAAATGTCAGATTCTTGGAGTAGGACACTGGGGACGGGACACGCAGCTTCCTGGGCACATCCCGTCTGTGAAATAGTGTTTTACCCTGAGCTGGCAATGGCAGATTGTGTGTGTGTGCAAGCGTGCACAATGGACTCACTTTTGGGGGCGGATTCTGCTATCCTTACGTGTGATTTATTCAGGGCAAACTCCTATTGACCTCCCTGGGCGTCTTACTTAAGTCAGAACTGAAGAAAAACTTCAGGATTTGGCCTATAGTGAATTGGATGAAATAAAACTTCATTTAGACTGTGTGTGTGTGTGTGTGTGTGTGTGTGTGTGTCCATAAAGTTCCACGCGGTATGTGCGTGCCTATAGATACACGCTCCGCACCGAGATATACTCATAAGAAACCACCAGAGGACTTCTGTTCTCTGCCAGCGGAGACACGCCTGGCGTGCGTGTGACAGAGGGCAGCTGCAAGGTGTGGCTCCCCGTCTGTGATAGGAAGAGGCACAGGGAGACTGACCTTAGCTCTGGGGCCCTTGGGGGTCCAGGCGTTGGCTCTCACTGTGCTTTCCTTCCAGGACAATGGGGAGCTGTGTCTGCAAAGCGCTCAGTGCAAAAGCAGGTGTTGCCACAGGACTGACATGTTAAGCCTGGCTCGTTGTGCGAACCGAGCAGCCGAGAATCAGGAGTGTTCCCCCAAGGTACGTGGCACGCTAGCTCTGGCTCATGCTCCCACAGATGTGCCTTGTCCTTCCTCCTTAAGCGGCGGGTAAAGCAGCTGAGACCGGATGTGCAGGCAGCTGATAGAGACCCACGTTTGCAAATTGTTTGTGGGTAACAACAATGGGGAGGGGCAAAGCCCCAGCAGCTTGGGGATCCCAGTCCAAACACTTGAACCTTTGTGGCCCCTTTTCTGTGACCTGCCGATAGTCCCTAGTGCTCTTCCTCCTTGTGCCACCCCCTCTAAAAATCTTGGGTGCCCTCAACACCTTCCATGCAGCTAGGGCTGGATCTTCAAGGCAGGTCCCTCCCACTCTGAAACACCTCCTCTCCAAGGTAGCCCTCATCCCCCCTCTAGTAACAGCTGCTTTCTGAAGGAAGGCTGCATGGCTCACTTGCTCCTTGCTCTCTTGGCAGGAGCTTACCTGGTGATGGAGACCAGCAGCCCCTCTGCGGGACCTTCCTAACACCCCACTCAAAGACTGGGCAATTCTAGGGCTTTCCATTTAGCTGCCTCTGGCAGGTGAGGCTGATGATTTGTTTCCAGGCTGTGCTGTCTGATCGCACAGGAAGGCCTGATCCTGGACGAACAAAGGGTACGGGACCAGGGGTAATACCACCTCTGGGTCAATACAGGGAGGTATCAATGTAACAGCCTGCTAGACAACAGACTGCTTTGCTGAGGCCTTGCTGGTAGACCAGAGGCGGCACTGGGCATGCTGCAGTGTGCCGTACTATGACCCAGACCTTTGTGTCCCGTGCAGAGCATCTACGGGGTTTACTACAAGTGTCCCTGTGAGAATGGCTTAACCTGCGAGACTGATAAGAGCATCGTGGGATCCATCACCAACACCAACTATGGCATCTGCCAGGATCCTGGGAGCTTGTCCAAGTAAAAGTGGAGTAACGGCATAGGAAATGTTCCCACGCCCGCGCCCCGCAGCCGTCACCCCCTTCCCACGCCCGCGCCCCACAGCCGTCACCGCCTTCCCGCGCCCCACAGCCGTCACCCCCTTCCCACGCCCGCGCCCCACAGCCATCACCCCTTCCCATGCATGCACCCCTCCTCTCCACCATATCTACTGTATACACCAGGCACCTCTTCCCATTCTCCTTTCTCTGCACCTCTCACTCCACACCATGCAGATATCTGGCTCGTTGTCCCCAGACCCCTTTCACCCAGCCCACACACTGATCCCTCTTGCTGTCACCAACACCTGCACCCGTCCCTCCACACCGATCCACACCACACACGCACACACCTACACTCAGCTCTGCTGGAGTAATGCACACGGATCCTGAATGACATTTGATTATCGGGCGTCCCTCTGTGCTGGGTCTGACAATTCAGAGCACCCTGGGTGAAACAAGAACGCATCAGTTCAATACCCTCCAAGAGCCATTATTGTTTCTCCCCCAGCCCTCAAAAATAACTACCCGCCTCTATTGCGCACTGTATCTTCAGCTGACACTTTGCAAAAGGGGCTGCAGCCCCCTTTCTGGTGCCCCCTCCTGAATCCCATTGTTCATAAGCTGTGCCAACCTCACCCAGCCTTGGCCCTGACTTCCCACTGATTACATCATTGTCTCTCTTTCTGCAAGAACAGCCCGGCTTCTTCATGGGACTGCTGCAACTCTTGTGCCCATCCATGTCACCCTAACCGATCTGGCTGGGGATGGGCCGGGGGAAAGGCGCTCTTGTTGGACTTTCCACTAAAACGTTTCTTCTCCTGGGGTAACGTGAGATCAGGCATCGTTCCCCATCTCCTCCAGTTAATACACAGGTAGCTAGGCCAGGATCTGTTCCAGGGACCAAGATAGAGAGAGCAAAGGGCCTGTAGCAGGTGGGAAGGGAGAGGTTGGGTGGAAGGTAGGGTAGAGGGGACTTCAGACCAACTCAAAGAAGGCTCATGCCTTGGGCAGAACAAGGTTGGAGAGGGATTTCCTCTCTCTAGGTGAAATCCACCCCTGCACAATGGGTACTTCAGGTGGTGCAAAAGCCCTGGTCCGGGGTGAATTAATCTCCTAGACTGATGCTTGCTCAGTATTCGTGCTGGGCATAGAACTGCGGGCAGTACTGTAGCTGGTTAACTCAGCCGGTCATTCTCCCTGTGGACTACACAGGGCAGATTGCAATTATCTCCGATTGAGTCCATCACTGAAATCATTCAACTAGCAGCTTTCTTTTGCTCTCCAGCAAGACCTCACCTCCCAGGATGCACCCTGGCCACGCAACTCCCACAATGCACTGCCTTTCCTCCCCCTGAGAGGAGATCAGGGTGCATTGTGGAAGACTGAGTCCAACCAGGGAGCCTGGTCTACAGCGGTGAATGGGAGCATGAGGCACCCAAGCTACAATTCCCATGAGGCACCGCAGCAGCCTTTCAGAATTGAACCATTTTGGTTTTCAGCCAAAATACTTCAGACTTTGATTTTTCTTTCTCTCCAAAAGTCAAATTTTTCTGCAGGGAAACCCCCCATTTTCTGACCCCCTCTAGTGATGCCACCTCCTAAGTGGTGTTACCCGAGAGCTCTATGCATGTGTACATAATCCGTAATCGTGTAAATAGTTAATAGATAAGGGGCCAATAGCGGGCAGAGTCCCTGGGTTTTGTAGGACAAATAAAACTTGTTAGCCTTGTGCCTTGCAAATGGCTTTCTTAGTGCAAGCTCTTCACAACTGTTGTTAATCCAGCATCAGGAGTGAGAGTTGTTTGCTCCTCTGTTGTGTCACGCTAGCAATGGCCGTGAGCAGCAGTTCACCCCCTGCTGCACACTTCTGCGCTGCACACTTCTGCGCACACTGGGGCTTTGCCTGGCTTTCTTCTTTTTTTAGAAAGGGAGTAGTGTATAGGAATAGGGCGGTACCCCTTTAAATAGGTTGTCTGCCCTCTAGTGGTGCTCATTGTATCCCATGTTTCAGAAGGCTCCAAAATCCGAGCTCAGCAGTGATGTGTCTGTGTGGCTAGGCTTTGCATGTTGTGTATACTCTTCAGTAAATGTGGTTATTTGGGTCCCACCATGCCCTGTGGTTCTTGCATATTGTTTACTGTGTAAAGAGAGGGACACAAGGGGAAACAGAGGCACCCAGCAAGTCAGTGTCAGAGCCATGAACCCAGAGCCCAGCTCTCCTGACTCCCCATTAGCTCTAACCACTAAACTATCCTTCCTTTTGTGGCTTATTTATTTGCATTGCTCTAATGAGAGCTTAGCCTGTATTTGCTCTGCTGTAACTGAGTGCCTCTCAGGTGTCCTTGAACTGACCAGTCATCTGTGAAATCTCATTCCTTTTACCAGGAGCGGGCCTGTACCTGATCCTCAGTCCTAATCTGGGCACCTAGGCTGGGATTTACTGGGGTGACCGTGCCCGGCGTCCCCAGGCAGACACAGGGTTTGAAAGCTGGAAGAGGGATCTGAGGGAGAACGCATTCCCCTTGGCACTAAAGTTTTCACTAGCAATGTGGGTGGACGGTGGTTTCCTTCTGGTGGATTGTTCCTACTCGAGGCCTGGTTGGACCTGGCCGTGTGGCCCAGAGGTGCAGGCAGCTTGAGCCACGTGCAATTTCCTGGGAGCAACATGTCTTATGGCAGGTGGATTTTATTCTTCATCCACTCACTGGCAGCTCCTTCTGTGCTGAGTGAGTGGTCAGTCAGCGTACAAGGGCACACCTGCCTCAGGAGGTTATGGGGATACTGCAGACTCTAGGGGCAACAGACTGGCCAGCGGGTGTCCTGTCCACCCCAGACTGCCAGTTACAGCCCTGCATGTGACCATCTTTGCCCTTCCTGATGCATGAGTGGCACTTGTCATTGGCCAGTTGGGTCCATGCCAAGCAGCTGGGACATAGGGTGCAGCCCAGAGCCAGGGCTGGCTCTCCATGTACTTGAAATGAGAGCAATTTCTGCAGGAGACCCTCCTCCCCTCAGGCCTTTTCCTTTGGCAGGGAATAGGGGGAGAAGGGGCCCAGGAGGCAGCTGGGCTCTAGGCCAGTTAGAGCTTTGCTGGTGGGACCTAGCACCTTGCATTTGCCCCAGGAGCTGTGGGGCAGGCAGCCTGGCGTGTAGGCATAACAGCCTCTCCCCAGTCCTCCTTGCTCAGCATTTGGGCCAGTGTATGTCTATGCCCCATACTAACCCCATGCTGTGACCCAGCGTTGAGCCCAAGCCCCGCTTCCATCCATGCACCAATCGGCCTGCCTTGGGGTCAGCCAGCACGTAGGCCTCAGGGCCCAGGACCCGGCTGGAGGTGGGTCGGAGCCTGCGTCTCACCGTGACTCAGGCCCAAGTCCCTTCTGCAGCGTGGACGCAGCTCGAGCCACAGACCCAAGTCAGAAGCTCTGCGTTGCAGTCTGGCCGCGTTGGCAAAGCTGTGAGACCTGGGTCCAACAATGACCCGTCCGGTTTTACAAGGCAGTGTGGATGCTCAAGCGTGGGCTTGGAAACATCATATCCCCAAGCTCAGATCCCACCACTCTGGGCGTAGAGGCCTTGTCTGCCCTGAGGGTTTGCCCTGATTCCAGCCATCACAGTTTACACTTACCCCGGTTTCTAGCAGGGGTGAGCCCTGATCCTCCCACGGGGCAAATAGCAGCTTTGCCTGTCTGCACTGGGGGGGTTGCACAGTGAATCAGGGCAAATCCCCAGCCTAGCTAAGGCCTGAATTTAGTTACCAAGGAGGGGTGCTGGGGATGTTTCCCAGGGGCTACACAGCTGAGCTAGGAGCCAGGTCCTGTGAGATCCCCAGTGATATTGGGTTCTCCCTGGGGAAAGACAGAGACAGACAGCAACGGCCCATCGCTCCTGAGCTCTTTTATTAGCCTCTGGTGATTCTTACTGCTCTGATCTGGTTCTACCCCATCCCCGCCGCGAGCCAGCTCAGGGGTTGTCATCCTCATCGAAGTAGGAGCATTCGACATGCTGCCTGCTGCATTTGGCCTCCTCCTCCTTGCAGAGCTGGAGGCTCAGGATGACCTTGCAGGCCTGGATCTGCACCTCCTCCTCCGGGTGGATGATGAGGGAGAGCAGACGGTCGGCCAAGCGGGAGTCCTCTCCGAAGAGCGCCTCGTGGAGGGACAGCTCGTTGTACTCCCAGTGCACCGACTGGTACTGCGGGGTCAGGCGCCCCTCGCTCAGCTTCTCCACAAACACCAACATCTCATAGAGCAGGTTGCCGGGCAGCGAGGCGTGGAAGAGGTTGAGGAAGTCAGAGTGCACCTGGGGGCCCAAGGAAGGTATTGCTTTGGGCTGAGTTCCTCTCCGCCCCCCCATACATGTTTCCCCTCCATGGTTCTGCCAGATGGGAATGTGAGAGGGAGGGTGGAAGATCCCTCCCCAAAGGCCCTGCACAGGGTCCCGAGGATCTGGGGGGATTCTGGTTTAGCCAGGGCCGTATCTCTCTGTTCATCCTTGCCAGCCTCGAAAGAAGGACCAACAGCAGCAGGTGCTCAGACCCCGGAGCCCTGCCCAGTGTGTGTGGAGTGCTCTCAGGTGCTGGCTTTCTGCTCCTGCTGGGCCTGAAACACTTTGAGATCAGCCTCTTGGGGGATCCCAGACCCACCCGCCTCTTGATGGAGAAGGATGGGGCAGGAAAGTTAAGGAGGCATCTATGAACCTCAGCAAATGGGAGTGGTTCAGCTCCAGGGCCTGGAGCAGAGAGTTGGGGGGGGAGGGAGCGCTTTGCTGCCCCGCCCCACATTAACGCTCAACGTTTGCAGGTGCAGGACAGCAGGGAGAGCGTGTTTTCTTTTGGTGGGTTGGGTTTTTGTCCAAATCAGCAACTGTATCCAAACCAGGGCTAATTAGAATCAGAACTTCCAAGTGTATTCGGCCTGGCACAGAGCCCCCGCGTGGAAACTTCGGCCGGGACAGCTGAAGTTTGGCAAAGTTATAAGCAACTGGGTCTTACAAGGGGAAAATGCCAGGCATTGCCTGTACCACCTATGATAGAGGACTCCAGACCGCCCTGGCCTTGCCTCCTCTGTGCTCCCTGCTCCCCTCTGACCCGGGCCCAGCTCTTCCAGATGCTCCCAGCCCTGCTAGCAGGCTGGCCCTTACCTGGCAGTTCATGATGTCATACAGAAGGTCTTCTTTCTGGGCCAGGTTGCTCAGCAGCTTGAGCACCTGCACCTAAGGAAACAGGGCAGGGTGTCTGAGCGCAGGACTCAGGGAGGGGAACACCACGCCAGGCCCCGGCACTGCTGAAGCAAAGGTCAGTGTCCAGCAGGAGCCACTGAAGGGAATGAGGTGGGAGAACTTGCAGCTGCTCACTCCAGCCCCAGCCTCACCCAGCAGGGGGCACTGTAGGGGATGGGCTTAGGAGCACTGGCTGTGGGGGAGCTCCCAGCTACTCCCGTCCCAGCCTCACCCAGCAGGGGGCGCTGTCGGGCATGGGGCAGGAGCACTGGCTGTGGGGTGCTCCTGGCTACTCCTGTCCCAGCCTCACCCAGCAGGGGGCGCTGTCGGGCACGGGGCAGGAGCACTGGCTGTGGGGCACACCTGGCTACTCCAGTCCCAGCCTCACCCAGCAGGGGGCGCTGTCGGGCACGGGGCAGGAGCACTGGCTGTGGGGCACACCTGGCTACTCCAGTCCCAGCCTCACCCAGCAGGGGGAGCTGTTGGGCACAGGGCAGGAGCACTGGCTGTGGGGCACACCTGGCTACTCCCATCCCAGCCTCTCCCAGCAGGGGGCGCTGTCGGGCGTGGGGCAGGAGCACTTGCTGTGGGGTGCTCCTGGCTACTCCCGTCCCAGCCTCATCCAGCAGGGGGCGCTGTTGGGCATGGGGCAGGAGCACTGGCTGTGGGGCACACCTGGCTACTCCCGTCCCAGCCTCATCCAGCAGGGGGCGCTGTTGGGCATGGGGCAGGAGCACTGACTGTAGAAGCACAAGACCAGCCTAGTGGCCTAAGCTCAGGATTGGGAGCCCATGTCCCCTGCGTTCCAAGCTGAGCTGGGACAGGGACACACGGTGTGGGTTTAGACAAGTCCCACTTTCCCATCTGCAAATCCGGTCTGAGGGGCGAGGGGAGTGCAGTTAATTCGTTAGCGCTTGTGCTACTGAGGGCATGGTAAAGCAGCCCAACGGCCCCCTTAGGGAACAGCTCGAGGGCAGGGTGCGGAAGCAGCTTACACCGACTCCTGTCCCAGATGGGGACTCCCCATCCGTCATGGTGCAGGAGCTCCTGGCTGGAAGGAGAAGGAATGCCCCCGTTTCTATACCTGGGTCAAAGTGCTCCCCGTCTGCAGGATCTCCATCAAGGAAGGTATCATCCGTCTCAGGAGCGGGTGGGTGTGATCCGGCAAGGGCAAGCCATTCAGCAGCCTCAGCCCAGCAATGTGCAGCTCCGTGTCCCAGATGGTGGTGACCAGCTCCAGGATCTTGGGCACGAACTCCTGCAGGGGAAGATGGAGCGGCCCCATAGCTGTTCACCTGACTCCAAAGGCCTGGGGCAAGCGCAGCTCCCTAGCAACACCCTCCAAGGGTGCCTGCTTCTGTACTT